GTGTTGCCGTACGGATCCATCGCGTTGTAAATCCTTTGAACACATGAACGCATGAGCGCAATGCAGGTTCCATACCGACACGATTACGGCAGCCGATTCGCCAACAAGCACGCTGCTGACGGAGTCAATGGTTGGAGACGCGGCAACCGGAAGTAGACTGTGTTTCAAGCAGCGCATCAGCGATGACGTAAGCCGCGCGAGATTGAGAGGGGCGCTCAGTGAGAGGGCAAAGCAGCGTGGAAGAGACCAGCGGAGGAGAGAGCGAAAGGTGTGATCGTCACAGTTCCCATGAGCAAACGCGTTTAACTTCACTATTACAGCACCTTTTGGAAAAATTATCATGGCTCTGTGTTCGTCGTGCAATCGGGTACAATTTCCCCACAACTTAATTTCGACCTCTGGGTGGTTTACGGGCCCTTTAAGCCACGCGATGCTAGATACTGTTACGAACTCGCTATGCGCTGGGCATTGCTCTCGCCTCGCTTGCTGGGGTACACGTCCTTCACGTCAATACCAAATTACAGGAAGCCTCGAGCTCACTTGTCCTTGCCGCCGCCCTCACTGCGGGAGCTGCGGGGGACCTTCTTCATCAGCGACACCGCCGCTGGGAGGCGGCCCTCCAAAGCCTAGAGCTGAACGACCAACTCTGGGCTGTACGGCAGGCTGAGGATGCCGCCCGTGTCCAGGGACTACGAGCCGCCACCTAAAGCCACCGAGACCAAATTGCCGGCCCATTGTGTCCAATGAAGTCTTTTCTCTCTCTCCTTCACATAGACCGGAGGCATCCCTGAGAGACACTGGACGCATCCCTTTGAGACACTGCGCGCGTGTCCTACAGCGGGCAGTGTTCTCCTCCTCAAGCGTCTCGGCGCCTATGAAAGGCCGGCGCATTTAGCGTCAAAGGCTTCCTCCTTGTCCACGTTCTGTACATCTGTTGTAAATAAAAATGTTTCGCTTTGTTTCCTTCTGGCTACGTTTTGTCTTGCCACTTGCCTGAATGCTCCCAGCCCAACGTTGGCCCTCGCGACATGCTATCCAAGAGACTGGTGGGGTCACTTCGTAATAACTGGTTTGCAGCAGTGGGATGGCAGTGGACCTAGCAACTTGCGCCAGCTGAAACGTGGACAACGTTTCGGACTTTTCCCTCGTGATTAACCAGGCTTTTTAAAGACAGATTTGATGCTGACAGGTTTTATTCCTCAATATTCAGTCCCTTTGCATAATTGCACTTGGGGATATTGATGGAGAATACACAGGGAGAAGAGATTGAAGTCTGAGCTTGTGGACCTCAATTCACTAGGCAAGCCTGACTCATTATTGCTATGCCCGGAATTGGGGGTGGACGTGGGGAACGCCGAAAGGAAGCCGCACATCATTCAGGTATTATTTGCCTAAGAGTAAATGAAAGCGAGCTTCAGAAATCATGAAAAATTATTAAAGCGCTCGGCAATTGATGAAAAGAAGCGTGCGGATGGCAAAAAAGACGGGCCGCATAAATAGAAAAGATTGCTTCAGGTCGAACTAAAGCAGTGTGAGCTTCAGGCTGTGCTAGCGAAACGCACTAATGTTCAGTGTGTAGATAGAGCAGCGGCTCGTGATGAAGTGGGTGCCGCAAACGCTGAACACGCAGTTGAGGTGGCTTGTGAGTTAGGTGGCCGGTGCCACTCAAAAAAAGCACGCGTTAGGCCCTCTAGCAAACTGCAACACAGCAATAGCCCTAAGAAAAAACTGGAACGTACGGTGGTCCGGGTGCAGTAAAGGTAGAAATTGAGAACACACCTGGCATAAGAACAATGAATGCGCGGCTGATCTAGATGGTTAAAACGGCATCCAATGCTACAAAGAGGAAGCAGGCATTTGTAACGAGCAAGAGGTAAACTTTCTACCGAATGGCACAATTGGGGTAATACAGCAATGTCCCTCGGAGAGCGTCGGCAAACATCGCAAAGCAGATTTTGAGCGAGTGGCCGCCAATTGTGGTATATGGATGGTTACTACAGTCATGACCGAAAGAAGCGCAATAATACAGTGGTAAAAACAGAGGAATCGAATTCTCGACTTGAGGCAGAGAAAGGGGTTTGCATGCAGGCCAAGGTCGTTGAGACGTTTCTGCCTTCGCACGTTCAGAAACCGGTTCCATGCATTGAGCCCGATCATTGCTCCGTCGTGGAGGGCAATTCCAAGTGATCAAACGCGGGTCTTGAGAAACGCACGCTAAAGGACTTGGTTCAAAGCGTCATTCTGTAACGGATCAGGTCAGGACGTAAAAAGTTTTGCCCCGTCTGGTATGGGACCCAATAACTTGAGCAGGCAGGGAGTTCTCCCTCTCGCCTGCCAGGTCTTAAGGGGAATTGTCCGATACTTACAGGCATCCATGTGATGGTGCTTCTGCTGAAAGCAAACCTGGAGGCCAAAACATTCCGAGCTTTCCCAACCATCACAAGAGAAGCCAACCAAGCAGTGGTGTGTTTTGTGTTCCGTCGCCTTATGTGCAGAGTTCAGGACAAGTGAGCTGGGGCCGACGACATGCAGCCATCAAGAGTGTAGACTTCGGGCTGCGGAACAGTGACCCTCTGGACAGTGGCTGCAGACCCTTGTCCATCAAGTCATCGCACCCCGGTGGAGATGCTGTTATGAATTCACCACGCACTGGGCAGTGCTCTCTCACCTCCCTTGCTGGGGTTCTCCGTAGAGACACTGACACGTCCTTCAAGGACGCCGGAGGGGTCTAACAGCGGGCGGTGCCCTCCTCCTAGAGAGTCTCGGCACCCGCAAAAGGCCAGCGCATTTAGCGTTGAAGGCTTCCTCGTCCACGTTCTGTACATACCTTGTAAATAGAAACATTTTGCTATGTTTCCTTCTGGCTGCCTTTTGTCTTGCCACTTGCCTATTTGCTCCCAGCCCGGCGTTAGCCCTCGTGACACGCTACCCAAGAGACCGGTGGGGTCACTTCATGACAATACACAGTGGAACTCATGCTTATTTATTGCGTGGTATCGAGACAGAACTCTTGTTTCAACTTGGCTGTAGCTGCGACACGACTTCCATTGACAAAGTCAACTTTATCCATTCCATTAAGTGCATCTACCCATCAATACCCCTGTAACACGGCAAACCTAATGCCATTTACAACGAATGACATTAAGCAGACCTAATATTTTACCTGCGTGCACGACGAAAACAAATGTTGCTTTGAATTGATGACCATGACCTTAGCCTTCCTCAGCAATAATTTTGGGGACGAATAAAATTATACTGAAACTTGCATGCAACATGCATGTATCCACAAAAATAATTTTTATGGGTAAAAAGGTGCTCCTAGAATATAAACATGGCTGTTTTACAAAACTTGCCACAGCTGCACGACACACTCGAAAACCAACATGGCCGACAATACGTGGGTTCGGGCACGAGTACAGTCAGCTGAAGCGGAGCGCACTAATGACTTCCCGAATGCAGAAATGACACGGCGGCAGCGATTTCACGTAGTCACCACTTCGGTAACCGCAACACGTGCAATCGAACAATCAACATCTGCAATACAGGCCACAACGGCAACAGAGCAAAAATCGAACATGGTCGGCATCCAGCCGCTGTAGAGTAGCCTTTTTTTTAGAATCTTTTGCACATGCTATTATGTCATCAAACCAGTATTAAGTTGACCTAGTAAAGAACAAGATATCCACAAATGATAAAAGTTACGTATACCTAAGTTAACAGTCATCTCCATAAAAGTCCCTGCCGTCAAGACTACTCATTTGGTCCAAAATCGAATGCGATTGTGTTTTGGGAACTCATTCGACCGAAAATACACTTTTCATCAAATGACATTGGTTTTCCCGTGTGACAGCAAACAAATGACATTACAATTACTGTGCGACAAGGGTATTGACACCCATCACGCGACAGTGGTGTGACTATGAGTTTAACATGCATGGCATTGATGTGTGGCTCCAAGCTGGCGCTCTCAGAAACCCATTCAATCAAGGCAGTGGCATATCTCAAGACAGTTAAGTTTGACCAACCTTTGGCCAACACACATACGCGTTTAAGGCGACAATAGTTTTCTGATAGGCCGCGCAAATTTCTGTAACCCAAACGAGATGTTTGGCTGCCTTCCTTTTAGGTGGACCCATAGCGACTCGATTTCTGCGGTGCATTATGACGAATGTTTTGGGTGAGATTGGTTAAACAGCTTCGCTTCCTAAAATTTACCCGCCGACAGTTTTCATTATTACATCTGTCAGCGCTCCACTGTTTCCAAATTCCAAGTAGCATGCACACAACCACCCTATCAGCTGCGACTGGAACCAGTCGCGCGAGGTCGAAAAGCAACTGCGTTGGCTCTGCCTCAACGGGGACTGCTTGGTGTGGTTTTTGCTGCGTTATTATACTGACACAACAGGTAAAAATCAACTTGTGAGCCTAGTTTTTTTTTTTTTCATTTTGTCCCGCAACAAAAGAACGAAGCTTCTCGAGCATAGCGGTGCAGACCAGAGCGGTCGCCCGCTGGTGTCATGTGACAGGCAACCTCACCAGGAACCAAAACCAAATTACGGGGGAATTTCATCACGAACTCGAGCACTGCACGACCGACGAACTCAAAATGTACGCAAATACTCGGACGAGAAAGGGGGAAAAAACGGGAGGAAGGCTATCGGCGTGTTGTACGGGCGTTCGCCAAATGAATCAACCAGAAAAGATTACATCGCACAAGGAGCGGCGAGCAAAGCGGGGCGCTCCCGTGGACACGACACCGCATCGGCGAAGCTGTGCCGGCGAGAGACGCCGAATGCCCCAAAAGACGGCAAATTGACGCCCTCCACGTCGAGTAGTAAACGGAGAGCATTCGCAACAGCGCTCGTCAAGCAAGCCGGGCGAGACGCTCTGAGCACAACACGATCGCGGCGACGAGCTTAGATGCATGCATTTTGTTTTGAGCGAGGGACGCCGCCTCATTAGGCTTAATGAGCGAAGGGAGCACCGACGGCCGTACGCACCTGCTTCCCGTCCACCTCGATGTCAGCCACGTAATTTTCGAAAACAGTCGGGACGTAAACCTCAGGAAACTGGTCCTTGCTAAACACGATGAGAAGGCAGGTCTTTCCACAGGCTCCATCGCCCACTATCACAAGCTTTTTCCGGATAGCGGCCATCTTCCGGTCTCGCGGCCGAGCCCACTGGCTGATGAAGCCGTGCTGATGCGAAGCTGTTGAAGGCCAACACAAACTTGACTGCGCGTATCGACAGTACTACACCCCGCACGAGAAAACGGATAAGATGCCGCCGCTGATGACAAGCAACAATACACTCCCTGCTCGTCACCGACAGAAAATCATTTCAACCATGGTGGCAGTAAGGCTGCTCCTGGCGGCGATAATTTTCACCTACAGCCATCCCGCCCCAACGCAAATGAAACAAATTAACGTGATAGTTCTTACCTAAGTATACGTGCATATTCAACAGAATTGATAGTATTAATAACGACTATAAACAAAAATGCTTTGGGTTTTGGTCACGACCTAACTGGCTGGTCGTGGTTTTGGCTGGTGCAAAGCAGATCATGCTACCAAGGGACCAGGGATGACCAATGTATGACCAATAACTTTGCTGTCCATGTTCTGTTGTTTTTTGGAAGCACTCGTTTTGCAGTATCTAGCGAAATTAAGAAACATATTTTTTATTGTAAAATTATTTTTGACCATTTTTGCACTTGTTATGGCAACACTGAGCAGCGCGCATGCGCATGGTAGCACAAAGCGCAACTCGTGGATTTGAATTCGATTTTGAGAAATAAGTCGTGAATTTGCCACGAAAGCAATAGCCACTCGACCCAATACGACGGTATGCCTAAAGATCGTGCTCATGGTCAAAAGCGACCGGCAAAAGATGATAGGCCGCCCTGCAAATATGGATCCAAATGTTATCGCAAAAGCACCGATCACAAGAAAAATTTTAGGCACCCGGAGATGGTATGACACTTGCGTTTGTGGCTACCTCGTTTCTTCAGCGACTGTTTTCTCTTCTTCAGGGGCTGCAGCGTGACGCCGGGGTTTCTCAAGACGCACGTAAGGTTCTTGTGTAATGTTTCATCGCTGTTGCTTATCCTGTTGTCACACCGCAGCACCGGTCGACGATAAGGTGCCAGAGAAACCAACAGGCGAGGACAGCAGTCTTCCCGACTCGCCGGGTGACGTGCGGGAATCAATTAAACAAAAGTTCTTGGTGGAAATGCCTGAAGACTTTTATGATTTCTGGGACTTCTGCTGTTCCCTGAAGAAGGAGAGCCCTTCAGGTGCGGCATGCTTGGAACACTCCAATGACTGGAAGGGCTTTTTACGATGCCCCGGTGCATGCGCTCTTTCCCTAGCGGAAAATCTCGGAGGCCTAGCTTCTGGCAATACCGGTTGTCTTGCCCCTACCAAAACGGCAGAGGGTGGCACACGAAAATGAAGGAAGAGGTTCATTGTGCAAAAGATACGACACAAGGTCGTTCCGTCCACCAGATTTGATTCTTTGTGAACGGCGCCCACTACCGGATTTGTGCACTCAGTCGCAGAAGTTTATGGGCCATGCAAAGGTGTGTCCTCAACTAGGCTGTCTACCAGTGATGCTGGCATCAAAGCACCATACACTATTATTATTAATTTTTGTAAAAGGCCCCTGTACCTACATATGCACTCATGATGGTGAGGTCATACCCTGTCCATGCCACTTGCCACCGTGAGCCTGGGTCTTGTCATTTACACACATTGTTGATTTGTTTTTATGCAAAACACTGAGTCCATTGCACATTTGTGCTCCAATAGCAGTGTCGTGCATGCGTAGATGTCAATTGGCGTGAAATGTTGAGACTGATGACAGTGATGCAGAAAAACTGCTCTGTAGACAGGGGCATTTGGCATCTGAGAAGCATGTTGCATTATAAAGCACAAGAAATGTTCATTGCCTGTGAGAAATGGAACAGACCATAAATAGTGGGAGGGATAAATCTTGGGTGTGGCATTGTTGTCGACAACATTACGGAAATGTTGCGCAGGTGCTGTTAATTATGCGTCTGCATAGTCTGTAGGTTTCTGCAGCGGACTGTCCATTGTTGTGGGGTATTGTTGGGTTCCTTTGCGTATGGTACTTATTTTGACATTTGTGTACTAGAGGATTCACTTGGCTGGGGAGAATATTAGTTGGTGTAATGAGGCAAATTTTGATTCCCTGGTAATTTTAAACCTCTGATGGTCAGCCATACCTGTTTGCTTTCAATGTAATCCAGGTGAGCACAAGGTTTGATCCAAGACACAGATGAATGCACAAGCACTGCTGTGTCAATAAGTACACTGCAGTGCTTGTGCATTCATCTCTATGGCTCATTGTCCACATAGCTGTATGAATTCTCTGTTTGTAGGCTTTAGTTACCATATAATTGGTAATCAGGTTTTGCTGTGTGCAAGTAAAATCACTAGCTTCAATTATGTTGCATCAAGAAAGAGTCTTGTTGCTTTCTGACCAGACCTCTTGAATTTCGCTGCCCAAATCTCCAAAAGTGTGGACAATTCATTACATTTACATATATACATGCATCAGTGCACAAAAAAAATGAAGTTCATCACAAAAAGGTGGTCTTATCAGAAGGTCATCTGCAGGAAATTGTGCTGCTCACACAAACATCAATGAGAAATTAACAATCTTGTGCATGTAATGTGCTATTTGTGCCTTTGGGAAACCATTGGCCTTTTTTTTATACTACAGGTGTGAATAGTAGAAAGAAGTGTACACATAAGAGCTCGTTTTCTTTGTTAGAAACATTATTAATTAGTACTGACAGAAAATTGCGTGAAAAAAAGTAAAGAAGATAATATTAGAAATAATCGTAATGTTAATGTAAAGAAAGAAAAAGTGAATGAAGAGATAACTTGCCGCAGCCAGGAACCCAACTTGCGACCTTCGAATAACAAGTTCGATGCTCTACCAACTGAGCTGCCATGGTGGCTATCCCCCCCATCCACTTTATTGGGTATGTATGTGCATTAAACGTGGGAGCATTTAAAGTGCTGCCAGCTCACATTAAGATCACGTACTACATGATGCTAATAGGCAAAAAAAAAAAAAGGAGTGTCCTACACTCACGGTAATGGCTACAGGCGGCGCTGGCGGACGCTCCCACATTTAATGCATATACATACCCAATTATGTGGATGGAGGGATGGCGCCATGGTAGCTCAGTTGGTAGTGCATCGAATGTGTTCTTTAAAGGTCGCAGGTTGGGTCCCACAGCAAGCTATCTTTTCATCTACTTTTCTGTCTTCACATCTACATTACAGTTACTTTTAATAATATCTCATATACTTTCTTTGGCATAATTGTCTGTCAGTTCTCAATTAAGATGTCAGTAGGACATGTACAGGAACAGAGTTGTTCTCATAGGCATTGGGCATTTCCATTGTGCTCAAGCAGGGCTAACTGATAAACAGACTGTTGTGTTGACTTTTTCGTACTTCATTTCTTCTATGGATTTGGGCTAATGGGCAATGCCATTTTGGGCTGTGAAACAAATGGTTTGCTTGTATGTTGCAAGGGCATGAAATGTTGAATGGACCAGCCCAGCTGTCTTTGTGTGTCTACTATAGTAGTGTTTCAGGATGGTGGCACTCATGCAAAGCTGTCAAATGGCCGATCACTTTATTGAAAACAAGTTGCGAGTAAGCACCTATGGTACTTATATTAGGTACTTGATGGTGCTACATAGTAACTGGTTGCACAGGCTAATGTTTCAGAGGTAGCTTCAAGCAACTTGTAGCTAGTTCATGTTATGTGTGAGTTCCCTTGAGAGTTTGCTTGCATTTTTTATAGCTCTTCTCATTTTCTACAGATGCACTTTACGAGTTGCTTCATTTGAGGCTTGTTGGCCCCTTTGACGTACTGGCTGGGAAACTCACGAATAAGAAGGCTAGCATGTCTGATGACTTTCTCTGTCATTGGCGTTACTTTTACGATCCTCCTGAGATGCAGACTGTCCTTAGTGGAGATGACGAGACAATGTACCACATTGGTTATTTCAGGTAAGGCATTCTGCATGGCTGTACAGTGGTCATAAGCTGCCAGAGGCTTTTCCAATGTCATGTCTGCTGTATTGGAGGTGCTCAGAATAAGTCTGTCTTTGTGAAAGGGCACCTCTGCAAAGTTCATTCACTGGCTGTGTTAAAACTGAATGGAGCCACTAATTAATAGGGTTTCTGCAGTATTAATGCTTCCTGTTTGTCACTGCAAGGTGAAGCAATAAAGATGCCTAGTTAGTGGCGTATGTATTCGGTTACATTTCTTGAATGCAACTATGATGCTCGAGTAGCCAAATTTACTGTCTGGAATGTGTTATTTTGCTTTTAATAATAACAAAGAAGACATTCCTTGCTCACTTTGACCTTATAGTCTTAAAATGGGGGCTAGATGTGGGCATTTCATGCAAATGTGCATTTCCAACAATATCCTTTTTTTTTTTGCTTCTGGCTAACGTTCTGTTAACTGTCCATTCGTATTCATGTGTTGGGCAAAAGTTTCTTCATGTTCCCTAGTAGAAGGTGAAGAGCATATTTGTCATAGAAAATTTAATTCTGGAATTTCTTTAGGGATGACCCAGAGGAGATGCCTGTATTCCTAGCATCAAATGTTGCATCAGAAGGCTGCAAAATTGTTAAAGTAGCTGGAAACCTGTTTGCTGTGCTCAGGTAAGATGTTATACTTTGACATCATTAAAAGCCATGCTCAGGAGTTGGACCATGTTCCAGCCGACTTGTCATATTTTTATGGTGAAGTCAGCTCACTGTATTTGCACCATCACCTCTTGTCAGACTAATTTGCAGTGCTTCTTTTCGTCGGATTCAAGCCTGAATGTGAAAGTAGGTTGAAAAGGTTGGTCTGTAGCCAATATGACAGCGCAGTGCAGCAGAAGGAACTAGGAGACCAAAATGGTTTAAAAGATTCTTAATGCAGTAAGAGGCTGTTAATCCAAACCCTTATTATAAGTTAAACTGGATGTTCTTTGGTCCTGGCAAGCATAGGCATTGTTTAGTGGCACAAGCTCTCATTAATTTGGGCAGCATGCAAAGCACTGCAAAGGAGCAAAAGCTTTCTCCCTAAATAACTAAAGCAGCTGTGGGTCTCTAAAAAGATGTGGTCACCATCTACAATCGTGTTGTTGGTGACTAACGTTTCAGCGGCTGCAGCAAAATTGCTTTGTTTGAGCTTTCACTTGATGCATGCTATATCTATGAGTGCATCAATGGCTACTAAAGTAAAACTGTGACAGGCAATGACAGTTTTGTCCACTGCAGATACAGAACTCTAGCTTCGTTTGGCGTCAGGCAATGCATGTCACAAAACTCAAGCATGGTGGAAGCTGTTGAGGTTGAAAAGCTTGAAATGCCTACTGAATGCCAGTGTAAGACTTGCTTGCTGCATTGAACATTCAGTTGCTGGCCATTTCTTGGTGTCACACGCTTGTAATATTGGCGGTGGCAGTACGTCATAAGGGATTGGGTCAAAGCCTGCTTTAAGATAAGCCATGGGGGTTTTGAGCAGCGGTCACATTGTGAATGAATGAAATCACTAGTGATGAAAATTGTGGCTTTTCTTGTGTAAAATACATACTGTATTTATGTGTTCATAAAGAAAATGAAGATGCATTAATGTAAGACACTTCCTTATTGTTCTCATGGTACTTTGGATAATTTGTCATTCGGTTAATTGGCACATCTGTCCAGTTATATCAGACTTAAAGAGCTTTTTGTATATGGTACTGTGCTGTGAGCCTTTGTCCATAGACACTAGCTCAAAAGGTAAATACTAAAGTAAAAGCTCGTTAGTTTAGAATTCACAGGACAACAAATAATTTTACAGTTTATTTAAAGCAAAAAATAAAAAAAAATGTTTCTTATATTGTTACGAGGAAGACAGAGCCAGCAGGCACCGACTTGAGGGAATATATGTATTTACAACTGGTTAGTTGAGCTGAGCTGCCAATACGAAGAGCTCGCATCAGTCTATCTGCTGTCGTCTTCTTTATTATGTTGATCGCTATGCCATTAGTACGTAGCATGACCCCTGGCGGCGGAACCACAGTCCCTAAGCTTTTTAAGTCGTCCTCAGAACAACAATTGAAGATCTTGAGTCATGACACGGGAACATCACTCGTCTGAACTGATGATGATAAAGAGATGGGGCCAATCTTTTAAGTAACAGGCATTACTGGCTGCAATACACAGTAAGGTCCCGTGTAATGACACAAAAGATTTTCAGATAGGCCCACCTGACGATGAGGAGACCAGAGTAACACAAGGGTACCTGGAGCGAAATGTGCGTTGCGATGCGAAGCATCGTAACATGGTCGTTGCTTCCTCTGCGGCGCTGTCAGACGAGCACCGCCAAGCTGACTGGCATGGTTGGCTCGTGCAATAGCACCACGAGCATACTCGCTGGTGGACGACATGCTTGAAATGGAGCTTCTACGAATTTATCGACGCAAGCTCCCACCATCGGCGCAGAACAACCAAGGCTCCTGCCTCCAGGTCGTCCTTGCTTGCAAACAAATCCCAGAGAAATCCACCATTTGAATATTAGGCATGTGGGTACAGTTGAACCGCCATGTGAATCATACACTTTCTCTTCTCCCACCACTACACTGCAAGTGGCCCGAATGATATCTCGGGTAGCCACTCGTCGCCATGGCATGCGCGAGGAGGACACCCTGAAACTCATACGTAGCCTCGTGGTCAGCAGGGTGACATACAGTTTGCCCTACCAACGCCTCACCAAAAGCGAACAGGGCCAAGTAGACGCAATGCTCCGCAAGGCCTACAAAGCGGCACTCAAGCTACCACCGGGCACTCCCTCTAGCAAGCTCCTCGCATTGGGTCTACACAACACCTTTGAAGAACTTTGTGAAGTGCAACTCGCCACACAACTGCAGCGGCTCACGCATACACCTACAGTTCCTGACCTGCTCCTACGCCTTGGCTACATCAGCCAGTTTCACGACGCAGCTCGTCGCAAGCCCATTCCGGACCAACTTTGTGCCACTTATAAGGTCGCTCCCATCCCCCGCAATATGGATCCCCGACTACATCAGGGCCGGCGGAAAGCCAAAGTGGAAGCCCTCGAGTGAACTTATGCACACAAGAACACTATGTACTACGTTGACGCCGCCAACTACGACCATGCAAACAATAAGGCTATAGCCACAGTCGTGGACCACACACTCACAGAACGTACCAGCGCTTCCGTGCGGTGCCACAACATCACCGAGGCTGAAGAAACTGCCATCGCGCTCGCCCTCGGCTACAGACAATAAAGATCGCTGACAGGTCTCACGGACTCTCAAGCAGCTTGCCGCAACTACCTACAGGGCCGCATCAGCCAACCCGCTCTCAACGTCATCCTGAGCGCTACAGACACTGGCGAGCATTCCATTACACATTCACTTAGAATTTGGCATCGGATTATGTGGACTCCGGGCCACATGGGACTGGAGGGGAATCGGACAGTGGATAGGGTAGCTCGAGGGTATGCGAGCCGAGCACCTTCCAACTCCACCCCTGAGGAACTCGTTCCGGTCTCTTTCGACTATTCGGCCATCCTAAACCATTACAGAGGACTTAGGAAAGCTTATTCGCTACCACACCGAACACTAAATAAAGAGGAATCGGTCAGCTGGAGGCGAATTCAAACTGGCACGTTTCCAAATTTGCACATCCTTAGTAAAATGCCCCCCTCGGCATACTCTCCTCTCTGCCCATGGTGTTCAACTAAAGCCACTCTGTACCACGTCACGTGGGAGTGTCAGGCCATTACAGCCTTACAACCAGTACAAAATCCGACAGCGGTGCGATGGGAGGAGCTGCTGGCCAGCGAGAATCTGGAAGATCAGTTGAGTCTGATCAACCGGACCCGCAGAGCGGCTGCTGCAAGCAGAGCCCTGGACTAAGGGCCCCCCACCGCAAGCCAAGCATTTCCGACTACTCGGAGCTTCTCTGCAGAAAAATTCTTGTAAATAAATAAATAAATACGTTTTTACCACCACCATCATGCTTGAAATGATGGTTTCCAAGGGTAAAGTCTGTTCTCTTTCATACAATAAGTAGAAAAGTGAATAGCCTGCTGTGTCGTGTCAAGAGGAGTTGTACGCGAACGTTGCATCGCGTAGGGCAAGATCTCAGTCTCTATATTACAGTGATACATTTCAGGCATATCTGTAAGAGTACAATTAAAGCGTGAGGCCGTTGGTTTGCGGGTGGTAAGCTGTGGTCACATTGTTCTGCGTGGAACAGGAATGCAGGATGTCGGCAATGACTTAGGAGAGAAATGTACGGCCATGGTCTGTAAAAAGCTGTTTTGGTGTACCGTGAGTCAATATAACATCACGTAACAAAAAGCCAGCATTGTCGGTTGCACAAATCATCGGTAGAGTTCAAGTAGTAACGTAGCCTGTGGCATAATCACTAGCCATGGCTATTCATTTGTTGTCTGCTGTTGATTTGGGAAAATGACCAAGCAGGTCTGAACCAACGCAGTAAAATGGTTGCGTGGGTATGCCAATTGGTTGTAGCTGGCCAGCGGGTAGCAGCGATGGTGTTTTGCGAACATTGACATAGCTCACACGTGGCAACGCATCAGCATACCGAGCGAGAAAGACCTGACCAGTAGAAACGGCACCGTACACGCTCGTGCGTGCGTGATATGCCAAGGTGTCCTGCTGTGGGTGCATAGTGAAGTTCAGCGAGGACGCTGCGCCGTAAATGCTTAGGAAGGCAATAAGATAGTCAGGCCCGTCAGTTTGAAAATTGTGGTGGTATGTATAGGACGCCGTCTTGAAACACAAAGTGACGGACGAAGGCATCTGTTGGGGACAACTCTGTGTGGCTGATGATGTCAAGCAGGAGTGGATCCTTTCTTTGTTCCCTAATGTGAATAAAGTTGGACACTACGAAGATGGAGTGCAGCTCGTCCGTGTTGGGGTCAGCAGGATCGTCAACGGGGAGAGGCAATCAGCATGCTAGTGCAAGGGACCAGATTTGTACACAACTGAGCAAAAAAAATCTGGCAGACGGAAAGCCCAGCGACCTAGGCGCCCTGAAAGATCTTTCAGAGAATTCAACAAGCAGAGCGCTTGGTGGTCTGTAACTACAGAAAATGGGCGTCCATATTGGTATGGCCTGAACTTGGGGACCACCCAGATAAGAGCCAAACACTCGTGCTCTGTGATAGAGTTTATTTAATTATTAATAATTGTACAAGCGCGTATAAGAGGCGGCTGGCGTACAGGATAACGCAGTCATGGCCACGTCGTTAAGCTTGAACTGTGCCAATGCCATGGCCACTTGCATCCATACGAATCTTAGTAGGGTGAAAGTGGGCCAAAATCAGAGGAGAAATAAGGTGTGTGATTAGATTCGAGAAAGATACCTGTTCGGAGCCCTGTGAAAATGGGACGTCTTGCTTGAGGAGCTGTGTAAGAGGCCTCGCTGTGTCCGCAAGATTCTTGATGAAGCGACGGAAGTAGGAGCACAGTCCGAGAAAGCTGCGTACATCCTTTGAAGATCATTTTCCGAGAAAATGTTTGACTGCGCCGATTTTTGTTGGGTCGGGTTGTACGTCATTAGCATGCACTAAATGCCAAGAAATGTAATTTGGTGGCGCCTAAAGTGACACTTGGATGAGTTCAGCTGGAGGC